TGCTAAATTTTTAGATTTTTTTCATGACTGGTTTAAGAGAAACATGTGTTCAAAAGGTTCTCCATATCGATACCACTCCTTTGTATCAAGAAGTGAATTTAGTATTTGGTCACCATCTTTTACTTGTTACATGAAAATTGCTATATTCAGCTTATTTATGTCGTATATACTCAGTAGACTAAGTTCTTTGAATAATGGAGCTGTATGATCAAGGTATTTTTCCTAAAACCATGCGAACAAATCGTTTTTGAATCATGTGTATCTTATAAGATACGATTTGTAGTTGTTACCCCAAATAATATTGCAATAATATTATTATCTGGTACAAAATAAAGCATGAAGAAATAAGTATACTTCCTTATTTTTTCTGGAAAGCATCCTTGTGGCATCTTGTGTTTAGCAAATTAGAGAAATGTAGGCAATCTAATGTTGTTGGAAAATTCGAGAAGAATTTTGAAAAGGTGAAAAGAAGACAACACCATAATGCTTTCCTGAAAAATGCAAGGAAATACACACATGACTTCATACTTTATTTTGCACCAGAAAATAACATGAGCAGTTAGAGCAATTTTTCAAAATCGTTTTATTGAACCATCACCTTAAATTTATTTTCATATTTGTTTAGATTTGAATACTTTACCTGAAGTCTATGTCCATGCATTAGAAATAAGCATTTTTGCTTGCAACTTTAGTTCAGCTGCATTTGACAGATATCAAATATCCTTTAAAGGGTGACGCATATCGTTTAGCAAATCGAACGCTCGTTTCTGGTGTTGCTCACCTTATAGTATAAAAGGCCTGATCCCGGAATAATACTCAAGGGTTCACAGGTTCGATGTCGTTGTGTCAACACCTCTAACTGTTATATAGCATAAGTATATTATAGATCGTCACACATTCATAAAAGGGTGATTTTTATTTTGACAAATCAATTCCAAATTTATGGGTGAAGTTTCAGGATCTTCTATTTGTGTATAATAAGGAAAAATTGGCATCTTTTCCCTGTAACGTAATAGCACACAGCTTGGCATATGAAATATCCTACAAATGAAACAAAGCAGTTCTAATACAAGGATTTATATTGGCTGTTGTACATGTACTGTTTGAACGCAATCACTCCATGGATAACGTTTTCAAAATAATTATAAACGGATTACTTTATCTCAAAGACAATTTCAATAAACTGGATTTTACAGAACTCCCCTTATTTCTTAAAAATGGACTGATCCAGTTGATTCGCCTGGAGCCGCCATATTGTTTTTATACGGGATGCTTATCGGAACCCTTTAAAACTTCTACCTGGTTACATAACATTGACTTTTTATCATACCTAACAAAAGGTACGATATCGTAGTCAGCTTGACGGGCGGGCGGCAGGTGGGCGGGCGGCAGGTGGGCGGGCGGCGTCTCACTTTTCAGCTTGTCTACAGGTTTCCAGCCAAACCATTTAAGGGATTCATTTGAAATTTTCAGGGATGTTTCTACATATCAACGTCAAGAACTGATTAGTTTTTGGGCATTCTGGGTAGATTTTAAGGTGGCCATTTTGGATTTTCCATCCTAAAATCTTCACTTTCAAGACTTGTCTACAGGTTTTCAGCCAAACCATTTGAGGGATTCATCTGAAATTTTCAGGGATGTTTCTACATATCAACTTCAAGAACTGATTAGTTTTTGGGCATTCTGGGTAGATTTTAAGGTGGCCATTTTGGATTTTCCATCCTAAAATCTTCACTTTCAAGACTTGTCTACAGGTTTTCAGCCAAACCATTTGAGGGATTCATCTGAAATTTTCAGGGATGTTTCTACATATCAACGTCAAGAACTGATTAGTTTTTGGGCATTCTGGGTAAATTTTAAGGTGGCCATTTTGGATTTTCCATCTTAAAATCTTTACTTTCAAGACTTGTCTACAGGTTTCCAGCCAAACCTTTTGAGGGATTCATCTGAAATTTTCGGGGATGTTTCTACATATCAACATCAAGAACTGATTAGTTTTTGGGCATTCTGGTTAAATTTTAAGGTGGCCATTTTGGATTTTCTGTCCTAAAATCTTCACTTTCAAGACTTGTCTACAGATTTTCAGCCAAACCATTTGAGGGATTCATCAGAAATTTCAGGGATGTTTCTACATATCAACGTTAAGAACTGATTGGTTTTTGGGCATTCTGGGTAAATTTTAAGGTGGCCATTTTGGATTTTCTGCCCTAAAATCTTCACTTTCAAGATTTGTCTACAGGTTTCCAGCCAAACCGTTCAAATTTTTACATATGTTACACAGTGATAAGTTCTAGAGCTGATTAACTTTTTTGCGGCCATCTTGCTTTCTTGGTCAACAAGACCACAGTGCTGTGTTTTAGGTACGATATTGTTCACGTCTGTGCCTTGTTATCTGTAGTTGTCCCAGCTTTCATCCTTAGACTTCACGATTCAGAGCATTAAGGTCAGGGTGCATGTTCGGAATTTTGCTGCAACCCTCACATGTTATTTTTCAAATTTGAATCACTCCTTCCCCACAATGTCTACATCTTCCAGTCTTGCACAACGATTGCACTAACGTACCTAGAAAAGAATGGATAGAAGAATGCTTTGATAAAAAATATAAAAACAGGAAAATCCAGTGAAAAAATTCAGAAATTTTTTTCACTGAATTTTCTCGTTTTTTATACATTTTGCAAAAGAATCTTCTCATCAGTCTTTTCTAGGCACATAAGTGCACTCTTTGTGCAAAACTGGAAGATGTAGACAATTTTGGGGAATGAGTGATTCACCAACACCCCTTTTTTTGCTTGGTAGGCCGCTGATGAGGTTTAGCAACCGAAACGCCTGTATGATCCACCCCAGGTCCAAGCGTCCGGCCATGCCTGTCCATGTACTCTTGCCGAGCATTTGCATCTTCAAATGTTTCCCACTGGTATCTATCAGTAGACGGGATCTCTAAAAATACGCACAACATATATTAGGCAACTCTTGGTTATGGGAAGGATGTCATAAGCAACACGATGGATAGATGTTCAAAGCGTCTTCCATCCATATTATTATTATTATATGCCTGATGCTTGATTGGTGTAAAAAAATACAAATACAAATAAATGTTCAGCAACTTCTATTTCAATAAGTATATACTGTACAATATGGTGCATCAAAAATCTTCAGACATGTTAAATTAAAGGAACATTCCTTGCCAGACTATTTCTCTCCTGATATGGTAGCTGCAATCATATATATACTCTACATATTTAGCAAAACACTGGAAAAAAATTTCATATGGTCAATATTGATCATTTAAAAATGTAGTACTCATTCCCAGTAAGCTGCCATCTTTTCAGATTTCTTTCAGGAAGTGATGTCATCGACTCTCACCTGTTATAGCCTTGTCTATTACAGTATAGGAAAGAAGTACAAAATTACTTCTAAACAAGAAGCCCTTATCTTTTTGTGTAAAAATATTTTCAAGAGTTGTCAACTTAGAACTAAAGAAGAGATCATCAAAAGGATTTTAATCATAGACCAAATTGAAAAAAATATTCAGCTGGTTTAGTAATTCTAATAGCTCCTTACCTAATGTTATATGCAAAGTTGAGAGTCGATGACATCACTTCCTGAGTGAAATTTTAAAAGATAGCAGCCTACTGGAATTGAGCACTACATTTTTAAGTGATCAATATTGACCATTTCAAAACATTTTTCTGTTTTTTGATAAACTTGCAAAGTATGTATATGGTTATAGCTACCATATTAGGAGAGAGATGGTCTGGCAAGGAATACCCCTTTAAAACAAGAACAATTGCACAATTCATAAATCCAAACATATCATTTAGTATTAATTCTTCCAATTATTTATTTTTATTATTAACCTATGCTATAGTGTGAAACATTTTTAATGGTGAATTAGCATTTGTTTCATCTAGACACTGGAATATGTGTTGAGCAGGCCTCAAGAACTTCGCTTGTGTATCATCAAATCTTTCCAAACTTTTTTCATAACATCGACAGTAGCACTATCAGAATACAGATGAGTGAAGGTTGGCTTATGTGCTGATATCAACTTCCTTAAAGTAGTATTCTCATATAACTTCCCTAACTCCCTATCTTTCCTGTTCCTCCTCGCACACCTTGAATCTTGCAGTGGGACATTAAGCATAGCCAGTAAAATCCCGATATAGCGATCATCTGAGAATGTCAAGGGGGTTTTGCAGGCAAGTTTATATAAATCAGTTGCAACATCAATGCTAAAAACAACAGAGAATCCAAACAGGAAGCCAGGGGTATAGGGATGGGAGGTCCAGTTTAATGAAGGTTCCGAGTATATACTGTATTTTCCTTTTGTGAAAACCTTTCCAGGATTTCTATTATGACATCCTAGTGCTAATTTCCTAACTCTATCTATTGGTTTTACTTTTTTGATAATATTTATAATATCAACAACAACATCATCTGTTAGGTATTGTACAAGCGATGCTTTTTGACAAACTTTAATCGCCCATTTTAAGCCTTGAAAACGTTTTTTTTGTTATACCACGATATGAATCATCAAGATTAAACTGTAAGATATCTCCATATTTTTTGGCCTCTCTGTCAATCTGGCTTTGTATAGAGACATTGTTGGTCTGCCCTAACAAGAAAATAAGTTTATGTGAATATCCATACACATGCTGGAATGTTCCTAAAGTTTGTCTCATGGCTAAACGTGCTTCAAAGACTGGCCAAGATGAAGATATGACACTTATGATGTCTACTGATTTGTAATGCTCCTGGATGGGATGAATTATCTCACTTATAGAGTCTAAATAAGTATTGTTCCATTTCTTAAACTCAAAGAAAGGGTACGGTATCTTTTGTTTTAAATACTTCTGTTTTTTAACAACTTTGGGGAAATCGAGAGGCCATTTTGCATTTATATTATAACAAAAATTGTCCTTTATATCGGATGTATTTTTCTTTTGTTGAAATACAGAGCTATGATATCTTTGAAACTTTTTATGATGAAGCATCAGCACCTCTATGATTACCATACACAAGAGGATGCATAAGAAAATAGTAAAGGATTTCCAATACCATCGCATTGGTTTTGAGTGGTTTGCCATTTTGAAATGTCTGTAAGTCGTGTTAGGTAAAATATGTGCCAGTTCAGAGATTTATTTGTTTGATCATCCTTTGTCAGTTTAGAGATATTCCAAAATCATCATCAATTGAGTTGAGGTTTACTAGTTCATGTTTGTTGTTATCCGTTGATATTTGTCAGATGATCCATTCGAGTCCAATGCACCAAGAATCTGAAACTGAAAAAGGTAATCGATGAAGCTAAAATGATAAGTTTCAGTGTTTTGAGTGTGCTTACTGAAGTGAATGAGGCTTTATACCAAAATCCTCTCAAGGTAATCCAATTTTATTGAGAATTGGGTTGTTATTATCCTGCAATTCTCATTGCAATAATTTCACATTATACATACTCCTCAAAAAAAGTTAAGGACCGGTGGTTTTCTTCATAGGTTTACATGTTAACCCCCATATTTGTTTGAACAACTATTTTCTAGGCTTGGAACAAAAGAAAACCTGATAAAGTAAATAAATCTGTTTCTTGATTCTATTCTCTATAAAGTCTGCAAAATTCAATGTTATATCTCCATTACAATGGGTCAAAATATGATGTCAAAATTGACGAATTTCATGAAATTTAGAAAAAATGGCAACTTCACATGGGTGTATTTAAAATAATCCAAGGACATCCCATCCTTGCCAGTTGTTATTTAAGCCCATCTGTAACGTAAATTTGACAAGAGGAGGAGGCCTTCTGGTGATGGTATAGCTAGAAACATATTAGCAATGCAACTAATGCATGCTTCACTCTTAGGGTCAAAGTATGCCTTCTACTAAAATGCAATCATAAACATACTTGACCATTTTTGACATTTCCCCTGAACAAATTGCCTAAACAACTCAGCATCTATATCAAAAGCTTCAATGGGTTTACTTTAATTATGAGAGTACATGAGTAGAGAGAACTATATATAGTATGACTATGTATACATTCACACTACCCTACCTCGATCGCGCATGCGCGAATCTTTTGGCTTTCAAACATGTCGCTTTTGAGTATATCGACTGCTTAGTCAAAAGGTTAATACGTTTGGTGCTCGGAGTGAGTCAATATTGCTATTCGCTACACTTCAGTGGTGCAATAGTGAAGTCCATGTTCCAAGTTATATGATAGTTGAAGAAATAATGTAAATAATATTGTTTTAAATTTTAAAATATTTGATATGTCATAGTACACGGTACACAGCTGCAAAAGTTGATCAATACAGGGTACAAGGAATGTAAATTGTTCAATAGTACAGGGAGCGAGAAAGTAAGCTGATTATACAGACATACTATGTCCCGACCTCATGTACATTTACGTTGCAAACAATGAAAGTAATGCTAAAAAGGCCGCCTGTTGATGCTTTGAGGTGTCATCAATTGTTATTTAATCCAAATAAAGTAAACATTATTTTGTAGATTTAGACACGGGCTTTCAAGTCGTATGTATTTTAGTCATTAAATTAACAAGAACGCTAGATTATACGTGTTACTAGGGTATCAAATTGAAATAAAATAACGAAATTAAATATCAACACGTTAATGATAAATGACTATCCGCTATCAGTATTAATGACTATTTGCTACTCAGAATAATTAAAATTGCCTGAACTACATATGAAGAATCTTTCTAGAGAACCCCTTGAATGGTCTAATTCACTACCGTCCTAAAAACCCGACCATTCAAAACGTTTTGTTCAAATTCACAAAAATACAGTTGACTAACATACTAAAAAACGTATCCACCTATAACACGATGACACGCAGTTTAAACAACAGTTAACTGGGTTTATTGTTACATATCAATGTAACATTTTCGAAGGGACACTTACATGCTCCCTGTACGTTGATAGATTTACTGAAATGTATCGTGTATTGCATTTGGTTTTGCTTCACTGCGCCCACTATTATCTATCTTTACCTATAGTGGTTTTTTGCCAACAATATTCTACACACTCCTTGATGAATCAATTCTATGTCTGGTAGAACACTAGAAATATATGTAAAATGTATTTTACGTTCAGAAATATGGAATTAAACCCACGTCCTCCATTTGCAACTAAGCTGTACCCTGTTTCCCTTTTAAACGTGTTCACGTGGTAGGGTAGTGTGACATTTATTGAAGTATCTAATTTTAGTTATTTAAATCACTGTATTGCCACTGGAAACCAGCTGTTCATTTTGTACATGTTTGAAACCACATGTTTTATATATGACATTGCATTTACAGACGATAACTGAACAGTTTCAAAAACAAATTCATAATCTATAGTAATAAGAATATTTATTGGTGCAGACACACTTTATAAAACATGTAACTGCATTGAGATATTTATGCACTGGGGGATAATATATGAAAATACAGTCATGCACAGTTTTCAATATACTGTACGCGAAGATAAAGTTCGGAAATAAAATGTTAAAATAAATTGTTTTTTCCAAACCCTTATGACTTTGCCCCTGAAATCTGACTTTCACTTTCCCTGTAAAGCTCACTTTCAGATTATGAATAGCTTCAAGATCCCTATTAATAGATGTTTTGCAGCCAATATACAAGGCATTCTAATGCTGGGTCACATTTGCTTCGATCCATCGGCCGGTGCCCGGCTGATTGAGTGTTTTGCTCAATATTGTATTCAATTTTGAACAAAATACTCAATCGGCCGGGCACCATAGTGGAAATCAGAGCAAATGTGACCAAGGCATGAGGTAGCCCGACTAGGTTTAACTTCCGAGATTTCGCTGATGGAAGTCAAAATTTAAATCACGCATAGAATTTAATGCTCCTGTAATTAGTTCCTGATAGATAAATTTCCAAGCAAGCATACATACCTTATGAATATAAAAGCACACCATCCTATTGTGGTATTAAGTTTTACATTACATGCAAAATATTTATGTAAGTGGTCACTGACCATGACAGACCACCAGGCTTATGTTTGAATCAGTTTAGGGACAACTTCAAAAATACAAATGTACTAACTACAGTAGCTCTCACAATTATCTCTAAAGAATGAAATAAAGAACTTAGATAAAACAAAACTATAAAGAAGTCAGTTGATTAATATAAAGGAAGTTAAACCTTTATAACACTATATCCACCTGTGTCCTCTATGATGTATAATTAGAATGTTTTTGAGACAGCTTTCGAAATCTGATTCGCAGTAACATCGAAAGGGCAACTCCAGATAATATATAAATAAATTGTGATGTTAATTTTGAATGTAACAAATACATTATATATGTTTTCTATGCTGTACTTGTATATTATTAGATCACATGCATCAGTCAAGATCACATTTAAATCCTTCTTTTATACTATAAACGTGTTTAAATTACCTTTTCCAAATTTGCTGCATTCCATTTATTGGCCTTTCCCATAGTCTTTAAGTTTTTTATGAGTTATATTTATCGCTTGACCTCTTTCAACATAGTCACTTGCTTACAGCATGGTTAGATGATACCTAAATAGGCCTTTGTGACATTTTAAAATATTCAACTGGGTTCACATGACATATATAAAACCAAAATAATTATTTGGTTGACTAAGTTTTATGTTGAAGAAAACAATTTTGAAAAAATTCCCTTGCCTGTACGTTTATTTATTTATTTAGAAAAAATGTATATACAATAATTATTATGATACTTGACATTATACTTTTATATGCCATTTGGTGTCAGTATTAGACATGTATTATAAAAGTATAATGTCAAGTATCATAAAATTGTATCACTAGCAAATAAATAAAAAAAAGGTAATATATAGTCTAACAAGTTTACAAGGGTATATAGATATTGATGAGTATCACATTGGCAGGTATTATTACTATATGTATTGCAGTTTATTTGGAAAGGAGTGGTATCGATATGGAGAACTGAATTCAACAATGTTTTTCTCTTAAACCAATCATTGAAAACATTCTGTAAAAACACTGTATTTTATGTAATGTTGACTGATTGACAACAATTTAATCCGAAAATTATTTGGAAATATTTTATATAACTGTTTTTGTTAACATTTTTATCGCACTTTGAAAAAGTGCTATATTGTCGTCGTCTTGTGCTGTTGAGCGGGTGTGTGGGCGGGCGGGCGGGCGGGACATAAACCAAATCTTGTCATCAAATTTCCAGGATAACTGCTTACCTGTTCAACTTGAAATTTTGACAGATGCAAGAGCAGACTAGTACCAAGATCTGATTAGGTTAAGGGCATGCTGGGTAAACTACGTGGCGGCCATTTTGAATTTTTCAACAAATCTTGTCATCAAAATTCCAGGAAAACCACTTAACCATTCAACTTGAAATTTTTACAAATGCAAGAGCAGACTATTGCCAAGATCTGATTAGGTTTTGGGTATGCTGGCTGAATTACATGGTGGCCATTTTGAATTTTTCAATTTGGCGGCTATTTTGAATTTTTCAACTTGCTCCAAATTGATCCAATTTTTTTTAAAAAACATCTACAAGTTCTCAGAAGTTCAAATCTGACCTTAGATTTCAGATTTGACCTTTCATTCACCTTCAGTGACCTTGAAAAGGTCAAAAAAGTTGATTTTCTAAATTGATATTTTGGATTTAAATTTAGGTCAGCTTAATTACAAAACACCTACTGAGGTCTGAAAAAGTTAAATTTTCAAGGTCGAAGGTCAAGGTCATTAAACTAGGTCACAAATGATGTTATCCAAGTTTCTCAAAGTTTGAGACTACAAATCAATTCTTGTCATCAAAATTCCAAGAAAACCGCTAACCTGTTCAACTTGAAATTTTTACACATGCAATAGCAGACTAGTGCCAAGATCTGATTAGTGGCCATTTTGAATTTTTCAACAAATCTTGTCATCAAAATTCCAGGAAAACCACTTATCCGTTCAACTTGAAATTTTTACAGATGCAAGAGCAGACGATTGCCAAGATCTGATTAGGTTTTGGGTATGCTGGCTGAATTACATGGTGGCCATTTTGAATTTTTCAATTTGGCCTCCATTTTGAATTTTTCAACTTGCTCCAAATTGACCAAATTTTTTTTAAAAAAACATCTACAAGTTCTCAGAAGATCAAATCTGACCTTAGATTTCAGATTTGATCTTTCGTTGACCTTCAGTGACCTTGAAAAGGTCAAAAATTTGATTTTCTAAATTGATATTTTGGATTTAAATTTAGGTCAGCTTTATTACTAAACACCTACTGAGGTCTGAAAAAGTGAAATTTTCAAGGCCGAAGGTCATCAAATTAGGTCACAAACAATGTTATCTAAATTTTCCCAAAGTTCAAGACTACAAATAAATTCTTGTCATCAAAATTGCAGGAAAACCGCTAACCTTGTCAACTTGAAATGTTTACAGATGCAAGAGCAGACTAGTGCTAAGGTCTGATTAGGTTTTGGCCATGCTGGGTAAATTGCATGGTGGCCAGTTTGCTCTTCAAAGTGCGATATTTATCACTGTGTGTCTTGTTTTTTTTTTAGTGCAATTGTTTTTGCTCCTTTCTACCAATTCTTTAGAATGAAATAAAATGTCTTTCCGAACCTTGTTGGAACAAAATAGTATATACAACATGTTTTAGTCCTCTCAATACTATAGTTATAAAAGGAATTTTTGGTTGATTTTAAAAAAGTATTCAAAAAATTAAAACAAAATCCCCCAAAATAGATAAAAATCAAGATAAACCTTTTATATACTTTTTAACATCAACCAAAATTTCCTTTGTACAGTTACAATATTGAGAGACCTAAACATGTTGCGTTTATGTCGTTTTGTTCCAATGAGGTTCGGAAAGATGTTTCATTTCACTCTGGAAACATGATACCAAGAACAAAACAAGTGTTTGATGTGTTTTCTAAAACAATATAGATGAAAGTATATATGTATATATATTTGAAATTATATTGTTACCAAAAGATGACCATTAAATTGACGATGTGCTAAATTTTTAGATTTTTTTCATGACTGGTTTAAGAGAAACATGTGTTCAAAAAGTTCTCTATATCGATACCACTCCTTTGTATCAAGAAGGGAATTTAGTATTTGGTCACCATCTTTTACTTGTTACATGAAAATATCACTCTTTCCCCAAAATTGTCTACATCTTCCAGTTTTGCACAAAGAGTGCACTTATGTGCCTAGAAAAGACTGATGAGAAGATTTTTTTGTAAAAGGTATTGTAGCGACCCGGGGTTGGCTAGTCATATTTTACTCTTAGATAAAATGCCAACCTTGCACCTGGTGTCGCTACTTCCCTTCCGCTCGGGGCGCAAATAGTACTGCTGCAGGCTCATGGGAAATAGTTACCTGAGTATATAACTTTTGTATCAGAACAAATATATTGAAATATACAAGTTCTCAGAAGTTCAAATCTGACCTTAGATTTCAGATTTGATCTTTCGTTGACCTTCAGTGACCTTGAAAAGGTCAAAAATTTGATTTTCTAAATTGATATTTTGGATTTAAATTTAGGTCAGCTTAATTACAAAACACCTACTGAGGTCTGAAAAAGTGAAATTTTCAAGGTCGAAAGTCAAGGTCATTAAACTAGGTCACAAATGGTGTTATCCAAGTTTCTCAAAGTTTGAGACTACAAATCAATTCTTGTCATCAAAATTCCAAGAAAACCACTAACCTGTTCAACTTGAAATTTTTACACACATGCAATAGCAGACTAGTGCCAAGATCTGATTAGGTTAAGGGCATGCTGGGTAAACTACGTGGTGGCCATTTTGAATTTTTCAACAAATCTTGTCATCAAAATTCCAGGAAAACCACTTATCCGTTCAACTTGAAATTATTACAGATGCAAGAACAGACTATTGCCAAGATCTGATAAAGTTTTGGGTATGCTGGCTGAATTACATGGTGGCCATTTTGAATTTTTCAATTTGGCGGCCATTTTGAATTTTTCAACTTGCTCCAAATTGACCAAATTTTTTTTTAAAAACATCTACAAGTTCTCAGAAGTTCAAATCTGACCTTAGATTTCAGATTTGACCTTTCGTTGACCTTCAGTGGCCTTGAAAAGGTCAAAAATTTGATTTTCTAAATTGATATTTTGGATTTAAATTTAGGTCAGCTAATTACAAAAGACCTACTGAGGTCTGAAAAAGTGAAATTTTCAAGGTCGAAGGTCATCAAATTAGGTCACAAACAATGTTATCTAAATTTTCCCAAAGTTCAAGACTACAAATAAATTCTTGTCATCAAAATTGCAGGAAAACCGCTAACCTTGTCAACTTGAAATGTTTACAGATGCAAGAGCAGACTAGTGCAAAGGTCTGATTAGGTTTTGGTCATGCTGGGTAAATTGCATGGTGGCCAGTTTGCTCTTCAAAGTGCGATATTTATCACTGTGTGTCTTGTTATTATTCACAAGAAAACTGAGTATACATTATCAGTAGCAACGCTGTGGCGAGTGTAATTTTTCATTGGCAAGTGTGAAAACACAAGTCAATTGCCACTTGGCAAGTGACAGAAAAATCCTAAAACCCACACTGCATATATATTTTTAAAATGCTAAATAGGCCTATATGAATTGTATACACCAACTGTATCGTAACTTATATATTATCTCATTCATACATCCTTACAAAACCCTTCATCTGAATCAGTAACCTTTTAAGGGCACCATGTAAAGCTACAATATATGAAAAAGTGGTTTAAACACTACATACATCCTTAAAGACATTGTTAGACAAAAGTATGCGCAGTATTTGAATGAAGGTACTAGTATTTGAATGAGGGTATGAGTATTTGAATGAGTGTACTAATTCTCAGAGATTTAAATAAATCAAGTACCAGAATGTTGTTTTTAGATTCATCTGGTGGGGGTGGTCGTGATATCATAAAGATGAAGAAACAAAACCAACAGCTTATAGAGGAGAACAATTTGCTCAAACTGAAGATGGATATATTACTGGACATGGTAAGATATATAGACTAAGAAGAGCAAGAGATAGCAAACATTATTGATACATTTTAACAGTATTGCAACATGATATCACCAAATCGTAACAAGGAATTAACATAACAAAATGTCACCACCTAGTTGCTCATAATATTATGAATTCAATCTTAAGTCAGTTTTGAATTTCTGAGAACTTGAAGATGCTTTGAAAAAACAAATTGTTCAATTTGAAGCAAGTTGAAAAAAGACCTTTTTTGATCCTGAGGTCATTGAAGGTGAAATCTCAAATCTAAAGTCATATTTGAACTTCTGAGAACTTATAGATGATTATGGAAAAAATTGATCAATTTGAAGCAAGTTGAAAAAACTTTTTGGTGGCGACATAAAAATGCTGTAAAATTCATGATATGTAAACGGTGACTTTTTACTCAGTTTTTCATGTTATTGAAAAATAATGATGAGTGTGTGATAATCTGATAATCTTAACTTTTGATGCTAAAATGACTGGAAATCCAAATGTTTGGAAATAAAAATCTAACAGTTTTTTCAAAAAATGTTTTTCCCAAACTCTTAAGTCAAAAGAAAAGCATCTATCTTTTTTATAGGAATTATCTCCAATAATATTTGTAGTCATAATTTGATTTTTGAATTTTCTTTTTATAGCTGCATGCCTTTTTTAAGATGAAATGTTGTCTGTCTGTTTTAACTTTATAAACACACAATAAAGGCCTCATCAATGTTATACATTTTTTCCAGTTAGCTGAAGCAACTGCAGAAACTCACCTTAAAGAGACTGAAATTGACCAACTTAAAGACTTGGCCAGGAGAAAAAGATGATCTTTTAAAAATGTCATTATGGTCTATGTTTGTAACTTGAGTAGATTTGAGTTAAGGTTGGCAGAGTGAAAGAAACTCTGACATGACATTAGTATGCATGCCTACAACTCTGACATGACATTAGTATGCAGGGCTTCAACTCTGACATGACATTAGTATGCAGGCTGCAACTCTGACATGACATTAGTATGCATCCCTACAACTCTAACATGACATCAGTATGCAGGCTGCAACTCTGACATGACATCAGTATGTATGCCTACAACTCTGACATGACATCAACATGAAGGCCTACAAGGAAAAGGTCCCAATTAAATTAACAATCAGAGGCTCTGTAATATTCATTCTACTTGGCTTAAGACTGAAGGGAATGAACATTCTTGTTCATCCACTGACATTTATTAGTGCGAGGAAGTGAGACTTTAGTAACCATAGTGACATTTTAGGTGGGTTTTATTATACTGTTATCAGTGTTCTCCCTCAAAATATTTTTCAACTGGGTGCAATTTTTCAAGTCTGAAAAAATCGGCACTCACTATGCTCGCAATATCTTCAGGTGAGTGTTTCACTCATTTTGCAAATCAAAAGTTGGAGTGCCAACTGGGGGGACCTTTGGTTTTAAGTAAGGGGGGGGCAGTAAAAGTGACATGGGGGGATCACTGATTATTCCAAGGTGCCATAAGATGGACTAGTGATGTGGAATTTTTATGATACACAAGTAGAAAACTGCAGTTAATATATAGTTGGAATACTGTAGTGAACAGTTATGATACTGCATTTATTAATTAGAATACTGCAGTTAACAGTTGGAATACTGCAATTGACAGTTATACTGCATATGGAATACTGCACTTAATGGCCTGATGGCTATCAGTTTATAATTAAAAGTGCTCTCGAAGTTCAATAGACCATGCAACCTATTGGGTATGATGTCATTCTAACCGTTTCAGGGCAAAGCTAGGATTTTATTACCCTATTATTCATTTATTTTGGGAATTTGTTTGCTTTTGATTTATTTGAAAGGTCTAATGAACTTTTAAGTTAAATATGAAAAATTGCAAATGACAAATTCTCCATGTTTATATTCATGTTTTTTATTTAATGTAACAAAAAAGTAACAGTCTATAAAGATATGAAATAAATAAAAATTAATACATAAAAAACAATATTCTAAAGTAATTTATCTGAATGTAATGTTAAATTGTAGTACATGTACATTGGCATTAGGCCTATTAAAAGGTATCATCAGATCACATTTAGAGCAATCTAGAACTGGCATCTAGAACTTATGCCAGTTCTAGTGAACATAAACTTGAACTAAAATTTCTCAACTTTACACAAGCACATTTTTAGTTTTCATTATTGTTCTACTGCATGACTATTATACACCCCTCCCCCCCGGGTGTCCCGGTCACATGCCATGTATATAAAATTCTGCAAGGAATATATCTCAACTTGAATACATGGAATAAGATGAATAACAATCAACATAATCATTCCTCTAGCCTGAACACCCCTGAGAATCCCCATAAGATGAAAATTAGAAATAGAACAATATGTTCATATTTCTTGTTGATAATTAAAAATGGTTTTGTATTTGAGAACTAATCATCGATGTTCAGTGTGTAAAATTGGTTAAAGTTGGGCTGTAATAAAATCATATACAGCATCTACAGGCTCAATTATATAATTATATTTGTCTAGGTCAATATAATATAATGAATCACAATCTGAACAAAATTAGCAAATCCACAGAATACCGAGATTCGGAAGCCCCATGATACCCTTATTTACTTTGCAACTTACTCACTTACTGAACTACATGTACTACTTAATTTGGCGCTACTTATTTTGGCAGATTTGCTGTTTTGAACATTTGGCAGCTACTTAATTTGGCGGACTTGCAATATGACAATAGACTAACGGTACTAATTTACATAATTCTAAAATTACTGGGGAATTTGGTGGCTACTTAATTTGGCAGACTTTAACAATTTGGCGGATCCGCCAAATTAAGTAGAAGTAGAATATCATTCATGTGAGATAAAATCTGTCTTTAACTATGGAACACTTCTCTTTGAGGAACACCTTCCTGCATGAAACAGTTTTCAATATTATCAAGTTCCATTGACCTACATGTTATAAGCAACATCTGTATATCTGAACACCTCTCTAATCTGAAATCAATGTGAACACTTTTTCAGTTCCATTTATCTGCCATGGCGTTCAAATTAGATAGGTTTTACTGTACACTGTATATAGTTGTTTAGAAATAAAGTTGCCACCAAATGTATACTTGTACATGTACTCATTTACAAAACATAAATATTGCAGGAATAGTTTTATAAACAATTGTTTATCGCATCATTTTTAGTTTAATCTATTTTTACCCTTAAAAACTTCAGTAGGGCGCTGTGAGCTTTTTGGAGATAGTTCTGTTTATATTTTATTATGATAGTTCTGTTTGGAGGAAAGTGGTCATGATGATTCCACTAATATTTGGCACAAGAAATGTAAGTTATTCAATGCTTCAAACTTTGTTTTACATTTTGTACTGTTGACTTTTGGATCCTTAATGAGTCCTGTATATAACTTGCAGTTTATGGAGCAAATTGCACTAAATCATATGCTAACAAGTACTGCATAAATTGTGATATTTACATTGATAGTGTAATAATTTCATTAGCCCTGAGAGTCATCTTCATATGTTTCATTCATAAAGGGGGCATCGTACAGTACATTCGATGTGCCCTTGAGATGTGGTAATTGCCGACATTTGTTGTGCAAACACTCTTGTTCAAGTTCACTAAGACGGACTCCACTCATATTTAACAACTCCAGCTGTTTCAATGGCAACAGTGCACTGAATAACTCTGAGTATATAGTAGTATTGAGATAGGGACAGCTGAGAACCAGCTGTTTAAGATTCTCTCCTATAACCTGAAAGATTTTTTTGTACATCTGCACTGTATCACCTTCAAATCTTCTGTCAGTACTGAGATCGATAACTTTAAGATTCTGTGTATACGCTGCCTGAGAGAGAAAGTCAAGGTCCTCGTTGATTAGCTGACAGTTTGATAACCCTAGAAGCTCCAAATATCTAGGCATATGTGTAAGTTCCTTTAAGTGTCCACGTATGGTATTGTTGCCTAGATCTAACGCAACAAGGTTTGGAGTGGCTTCAAGTACATCATTCAGTAATGCCACCAGTTTCCGCTCATCTGGTTTCTTCAGTAGATTCAACTTTTCAATGGGTGATAAGTCTTCATTATCTAGAACACTGAAATCCCTTTCAGGTTTATACATCTTGTCAAACCTGATCCCACAATAACTCAGATCTAGAGTAGTCAGGTTGGAGCATTTCATGAACTTAGATAAGAACACAAAATCCTCATCATCCATTCTGTCATGTCTCAGTGAAATTCCTTTGAGATACTGAAACAAAGATATTGAGATCAGATTAGTAAAAGTCAGTTGTATATTTCTTAGGATTAGAGTCATCCTATTATAGCAATCAGCTGTGCCATTAATGAAACCATTTGTCTTCATAATTCGAGACCTATTAGTTGATCAGCATGAACAGAGCGACTAGGCCAGAACCTCACCCGCCCATAAACACACCAAGCTTTATGTCATTTGTCAACAGTCCTCAAAACAATCAGGTTTAGATGCAAAATGTGGACACTAATTCATGAGACAATGTCCAGTGAATTTAACTACTGACCCACTGGTGGATCTGGGTGATCATACCCCCTTGGGTGGGCCCAGAAAAAAAAATTGGGTCCAAAAAATTTTTGAGCCAAAAAGGCCCCAAAAAGTGGGCCTTTTTGTTCATAAATGAGCCTTCTTAGGCCTTATTTTTTAATTTTAGGCCAAATTGTGAAGAAAATGGGCCTCAAAATTTCAGAATTTGGACCCACTTTTTGGTTTTTGGGGCCCAAAGTTTTTTTCCTTCTGGTCTGAGATGTTTTTTTCTTAGACCAGAAGTTTGGGCCTCCCCTTGTTGGTTCCCAGATCCGCCCCTGTGACCAGTTAATTACTTAGCAGCATATACAGATATGATAGGAAAATTACACGAGTGTTTTGAATAGTAAGTCATAAATCTTTATGACACACCCTGTCGATAACTTATATATCCACAGATTTACTCACATCAGTATGCAAACGCTCCACTATTAGATGACCAATTGCCCCAACAGCCCCCGTCAGGATAACACGAGTAAGTTGTATGGTAAAGTTGGTTTCATCCTGCTCACATTTCTTCATGAGGTCTCCAAACACCCATATATTTCGCATATTCATATCTGCAGTTCCAAAATCATAATCTAAGCGGACTCCATCTGGAAATAAAATATGCAGTACAAAAAAGTGTTACGTACTAGCAAGCCCTTGTAGGCCCCCACCCTCACATTACACACCCCACCCCACAAGTTGTGAAGTAAATAGGGGATGTGGGAGTTGAAGCAAGACTAGGTTTATATTTATACCAAAATTGTCATCTATTATTCCATTCAAGCAATCACAGGCATTTTATCACATCTATTGATAAGTTGTATTTGATACAAGCTTCAGAATTTCTTGGAATAATTATTGTAAATTTTTAATGATATTTATAATTTCTTGGTGTTCAAAAATGAAAATCTCTGGGTTTCTATATTGAAAATTAATACTCTTAAAATTAAAACTCCAAAGTTTTGGGTTTTCGAAACGATAAATTGACAAATTTTCCCTGTGATACAACAAAACAACAATGTTATAACAGCAACAATTATCAAAACATTAATACATATTGATAAAAGAAATAAAATTACTTATACAGAGCTGTTCATACCAATTTTTTCTTCCTAAACCCCCATGGGGTCAACGGCTAATAAATTAAGCACATAATTCAAAACTGGGAGATGAAGGGCAAGGACACTTGAGGTTCGACAGAGTCATGTTGACAGGTCAGGGTCATCAAAATGATTAATATCACACCGGGCCAGATTGTGACATATTTAACTGCGAACTATGATTTTGCGCCACCTATAACATTGATGCCATATTGGATTCGAAGCGGTCGTAATACCCACCATCAAACTCCCGTTAAATTGCACTGAAGTCATTCAGCTACGCATTTGAATTTTTTACCAGTTATGCACAACTAATGGAGTTTTGAAGGTCTTAAAGAATTAGTTTGAGCCGTCAACTGTCAACAATTCTAACGCAAAATTTTATTTTAAATTCGCGCCTCAAATTTGAAGAGCAGTTTCACTCATTATACCTCATTCGGGCCCGCCGTGATATTGGTATTTCATGTATACTACTTCAAGACAGAAAAAGTACACCTAGAAAATGGCTACCCCTCAGTAAATACCTTTCTAGTAAATTAAAACTTACAGTTGATTCCACCATCCTTGACATCTTGCCATGATTTGTCTGTAATCTTAAATGTATATTTTCGCTTGGAACCTTTTTTAGGTTTTGGCGTCTTTGGTTTCTTTGTTACTCTGCAAAGTGTCTTCAGATGCTCCAAGGCAGTAACATCTGAAATGAAATGTCTGTTTAATACAAATAAAAAGACATAAATATAAACAAAATCACACCACCAATTAACCACCCAAATGTTAACAGTAGAACTTTGTTTGAGGGGCATGTCTGGAATGTCAATAACAGAAGTGATCTCCTAAATAGCTGTCAGAAAACAAGACAGAATCCCAAAGATTGTGACTGTACCTCTTACACATGTAAAGAAAGACTAACAGGTGGCTTTCCCACAATCATGATGACAAGATTTTTTGAAGAATTTCTAAAATGCTGCAAGAAAACAAGATGGCAGCAAAAAAGTTAATCAGCTCGAGAATTTGCTACCCCTTGCATTTGTGTTTTGAAGAAAATCTGATTAGTAGTTTGTTTGGAATCGCAATGACAACTTTTATCAAAACCTTTTAAAATCACTACAAAAATATGATGGCCAACTTAATTTGGTACCTTTTAACATGTGTATGAATTTAAAGAAAATTCGACATGTGGTTTTCCTGAAATTTTGATGATTTCATAAAAAGCAGGGCACCATCACAATCATAATAAGGATCACATGTCTAATCACATGTAATAGCAATCATGAAGACTTCATCCCACCAGTGATGTGATAATGAGAGAAGAATTTGCAAGCAAAAAAAGAATTCATTGTTTTTAAACACTACAACATAGTCTTTGCATAGTGCATTATAAAAACTTGAAAAAAAATGCAAAAAGAAATCCCTGTCAGTCATAGGGAATGAATGATGTTATCTAGGAAGAATGTAGAAGATGGGTTAAATAACTACTGTAGTATGTTTAATCCAACTTAATTTGGTGTCATATGCATGTACATGTACATGCAGGGCTCTCGCCAGGCTTTTAGACTGTGGCGCAGCACCACACTCTATTTAGCTCCCTCCACACCCTATTGGCAAATCATGACTGTTTCCACAGTCTAAACTTGACTGAATAATCAGTAATAGCATGTAAAAAGGATAAAACATAACATAAATATGATTTATCACGATTGAACAGTTATTCTGGAGATATTATCACCACACCCTAAATATTTCCTGGTGAGAACCCTGACATGTATGTGTATATGGACGGTAAAGAACAAATACTATACCTAGAAATGCTCCAGACAAGTCTATAAACCGCAGCTGTGATTTATGATCAGGGAAATTCAGTAATTGCTCTTTTATTATTTTATGAAAATGAGCAAGAACAGAAATGGCCATCCATCGATTTATGACACCAAATCTATGGAGCACAAGGACAGGTTCCTTCCAGTTATCCATCAGTATATTCATCACTAAATCACGACCGTTCGTCAGAGCAGCGTGCATCAAACGCGGGTGTAAGTCAATTGGAATATAATTTATTGATCTCTCAGTTAATGTAGAGTCTTTGGTTATATAAATGCAGCATAGTTCAACCAATGATTTTAGAGCTTCTTTCTTTTCTTCTCGCCAAGGTTCTGAGGGTTTGGTATCAGCTGGCCCATACTTGAAGAGGGGTAATCCATAGTTGATACAGGCATGTTGATCTTTGGATTCATTCATGTTTCTCAGATTCTATAATATAAATATGAAACAATTATAAAGTGAACTGGCCATACATTTGATCCAAAATATTTTTACATCTCTCATTACACCACTGAGGACTGAGGCCCAATACCACTGCTGGATCAAAAGATAAAAGGTTTATATCAAAGCAAAATGGTATTTTTCTGACTAAATATACAAAAACATATATATATATATATTTGGTATCAGCTGGCCCTAATACTTGAAGAGGGGTAATCCATAGTTGATACAGGTATGTTGATCTTTGGATTCATTCATGTTTCTCAGATTCTACAATATAAATATGAAACAATTTTAAACTCTAACTCTATCTCCCCGAGGGACCAAAGGGACCAAGGGGAGATATAAATATTTCCAAAGGGAAATAATCTCATATCCTTATATCTTATATCTTAACCTTATATCTCTCGGATATTTATAATAACCTTAAGTGAGAGAAATAACCTTTTCCATATTTTTCATTATTCAGTCTAATAACTGAATAATGAAGATTGATAGTGCTCACTGTGAGCTTATAGTAGGAACTCCTTCAATTCGTGGGTCATCTTTAAGCCCTGGGATTCCATCCTCTAGCCTCCAAAATTCTTCCAAAAAGAGAAAAGTCCACTAGAGGCAATCTGCGCGAGATTCCTTTCCAAACCGAACCTTGCACAGATTGCCTCGAATAAAACTTACAGTTTGGAACATAAATAAATTACAGGTGGATTTGCTGAAGTGAGGATTTCCCATGTTTAAAAATAAGAGAATTTTCAAGATGCCATACATCAATGCGGGTTATACAAAATGTAAAATATACAGGGATATGTATTTAGACAATATTGGAAATTATGGGCTTCCAGACGACCATGGTTAGGAAATGGTGATAGAAAATCCATCTGTCATTTTTGTTCCCAACTACAAAAAAATAAAAGTCTATTCCTGCTGGGCGATAATAGAGTGGAGATATGTTTTGCTATCTCGTCACGAATCTCAGGTTCAATAAAATGAGTTCCAATTAATAAGATACTGACCTTTGTATTTATACACTACACGTTGGTATAATTCATTCACTGACAACAACGTATTTCGAGTGTACAATTTTCAAATATAAAAAAGAAGAATATTCATTGTCACGAATCTTGGACTGCGTGAATTGTATCACGAAATAATAATTGAGGCCCGACACATTCAATAATCTGCAAAAGACATAGAATGTTGGCCAGATCTTTTTGTAGTAGGATCTCATAGGCTCAAAGAATAAAGCAGGAATATTTATTGAACTACTGATCCTACGAATTTGCATAATTTAAAGGACGATTCTCGGTTTGGAGAACGAAGTTCATCAATCTAAATGAACATTATCCCTGCTTCGGACAAATTTGACTTCTTTTGAATAGTCATAATTTAATTTGGGTAATATTAGTTTAGATTTTTCGCAAAAAATATTAGCGCAGTACACTGATGAACTTCTTTCCCAAAATCGAGACTTGTATTTTATTGAATCGGTCTAATTGAGCGTTATCCCTGCTTCAGACCAATTTGTTATTTTTACATCTTGCAGATTTAAATGTCCATTTTTATAGTTTAATTTGGGTAATACTTCTTTTTTCATGAAAAAAATTATTAGCCCAGGAGACTGTTCTCCAAACCGAGAATCGTCCTTTAAACCAATATTTAAAAAATCATTTTCAGCTTATTTCAAAATTGAACTGAAGGAAACCTCCTGGTGGGCCTATGTAGAGCCCCGGGGTAGAGGCTAACTAACCCCCCCCCACAGGAAGTCCCTTTGTGTCACCTGAGAACTTGACTCATTACACTGGCCCTTCCACTACTATCAGGCTATCGCACGGCGGCCGTGCGTCGACCACAGATCAATTAAATCAATGAATTTCTGCGGATAGCGTAGGAAAACGCTACGGCGTATCAAGTTTTTTACAGGCCGCAGGGTAGCCGTAGAAATTATCAATCAGAGTTTTAATATTTGTTCATTTGCCAATGCGGTATCTAGAAATCAACAGGCCGTTGCCAGACCGAAAAAAGGTTCAACGTTGTGGCCGCACGTCGGGCTTACCGTTAACTTACGTCTGTTGTGTAGGGTTCGATGGGTAATATAGTACCTTTGGAAACTGTTTTTTATGTCAGTTTTGGGTCATACCTTTGCTGTAAACAAAATACAATACGTATACAGTTTGATGTAAGGCCACTGATACCATAGCAACTTATATTTCACTTTTTTATTTGATATTATATCCTAGTACACTACAGACAACATTTATAAATTGTACTTAAATGTAGCTTAAATAAAATAAAAAGCAGAATTGACATTAATCAACAGAAATTCAAACTCGCCGTGCGGCTGCCGTAGGAAATGTGACTGCAAAAGTACAAGACCGCAGAAATTCTACGGGGAGCGTAGAAATATTACTGACCGCAGAAATGATAGACCGCACGGTCGCCGTAGGAAATGTGACTTGGGTGTTAAATACAAATCCTTTCTGTAACCCCCGGTGCCCGGACCCCCTTAGCTTGCGGCGCTCTGCGTGTGTTTCCATCGCCTCGTGTGCCGGCGGCACAACCCATCCAAACGCCACCACCCCCCCTTGGGAAGTTCATGCATCCGAAGTTTTTCAAACGCAAATATTTTGAATTGTCTAGCGTTCTTTGACAAAAAAACTACATAACAGGTTACTCTACGCTTTTACCCCTGTCTTTCAAACTTCTGTGTCAGTTTTTTATTTCTATATACACATAAAATATCTAATGCAGGCTATAAATTGTTTTGATATCAAAATTACATTTTTTATGTCAAAACAATTTATTGTTGTATTTTAGGAATCTATTATTATCACTGTCATTTATTGTGATTTTAACATTCCTGTAACCACGCTAAGCCTAGTCATTATATTGACTCATTTTTAAACATAAATAAAAACAATCCATGATTTTAATCTGTCACGATATTCCTGCTTTTCGCCACTCCCCTTCAATACGAACTTGAAGAAAGTCAGTGCTTCCAATGGTGCCAATCGCTATATTACGAAAGCTCTACAGAAGTACATACAAATTACACACACATAAAATCATATCAATATCCAGCTGGTGATACGGTACCCTTTGCATCCGTTCGACTTCACTTCTAAAAAGAGAGCTTCGTTTATAACTAGACTCTGCGCGAGGGTAGTGATACAGGTAGATGATGAATATATAGTTATCTGACAATTTATTTTTACATAATACAGTAGTACTAGCCTGGTACCCACCCGGGGGGGGGGGGCATCCAGCACCCATGCTCTTTCTCCCTAGTAGTGACACATGACATTGACTCAAGATCAAAAGTACATGTCGTTCACCCAATACTAAATAATCTATTACAATCGATGATGAAACAGGAACGTCTATGTTGTGCACAACAGTTCATTCCGTGAAGTGCAGGAAGTCTAAACTCTGTCTCCAATGTTGATGATTCCGGTGTAAAAGAAATTATGGTCCCCTGGGGATTATGGTCCCCTTTTTAAAGGCCCTTACTGGCCCTGATTGTGAATACGATAATAAGGGAAAGAGTTGTATTTAGGTCACCATATAAATCAATGGAAAGTAGGACCACAATTTGATAGGACCTCCTACCCTTTTACACCTGTATTTATATATTTTGGGGGATTTAAAAAAGATCGATAGATAAAAAATATATAATAAATAAATACGACCAGTTTTGGTTTACCTGATTGAAGCAATGAAGCATACTCTACACCAATGTCATTCACTCGGGGGGACACACACAGAGGGGGCACAGTTCAAGTCCTAAGCCTAGCCCCCCAAGATCCACTAGTGCATATGTAATACCCAATGTAGCAGCTGTTTATTTTGTTTTATTATCAACATTTATTCATCATGAATCTCTACACACGACTGGACGTTTAAAATTTCTTCGAACAAAAGACCATGTCAATGCTTAACAGTTACAAAAGTGAAATAAAAGAACGAATCTGTATTTGGGTTCATTGTAATGTACGTGTCACGACTGTCATCTCTAGCGCCTTACCCACATCTGGGATTGGCACTATATGGGTGTAATACTTTAACAAAATCACGATATCGTGTTTCCTTTTCTATATAAACAGATTCGCTCGGCATTATTTGATCAACATTGACTGCTCCCCCTGTGAACTACGGACTGAAATAAATCCTTGGAAGCTGAAACAAAAAACCACGATAATAACGGTAAGTGCCGCCTAGATGTATAAAAATATATGAGATCGCATTGGCGTACCCATACTCGTTTTCCAGTTTGGTTTTCAATCGATATGAACACATCATACCTTGGAAATCCAAGATGCGTACGCTCAAAGTTTTCAAGAGTGAAAAATAATTTTAGTAAATTATGTAATTAAACCGAAATGGATCTATAATGACGAAGTTTGTTTTTTTCGGAAACGGTATTTGAATGAGATAACTATATGAGATGCATTTAACTACGAGAGCATTTTAAAATTTGTACCACTTTTTATTGAGATTCATGTTTTTATTAGTAATTACCCGATTGAAGTCTTCTGATTCTACAAAGTTCAACGTTTTAAGTATTTTTATGATGATTTAAAATTGTCAAACAGGCATATATACAGGACATCATTATAGTTTCATTTAGGTGCGGAAACTCATTTTTATCAATTAGCGATAAATTTGATAATCATCATTTATCGATAATTTTTTTCAGTTAGCGATAAATTTGATATATCAATCTTAGCCGATATTATCAGCTAATGCTAATTTCATATGTGCCGTTCACTTTTATCAATTAGCGAAACATTTGATAATTATCAATTATCGATAAATTTTATCAATTAGCGATACATTTGATAGATATCAATAATCGATAAATTTGATAATTTGAATACATGGCAGACATGAAATTAGCATTAGCTGATAATACAAGTATCAGATGAATTTGATAATTATCAATTTTAGCTGATAATATCAGCTTATGCTAATTTCACTCATGCCCTTTTCTTCGTATTGACTCCAGACCCAAAAATTTTTTTAGCGATAAAAGCGATAGTTTTGATAATTATCAAATTCAGCTGATATTATCAGCTAATGCTAATTCAACTTGTGGCCTTTTCTTCTTAACATTGACCTCAGACTCAAAAATTTTTAGCGATAACATTGACTCCAGACCCAAAAATTTTTAGCGATAAAAGCGATAGTTTTAATAAATATCAAATTTATCAATTTGCTAATTACACTAATGCCCTTTTCTTCTTAACATTGACTTGAGATCCCAATTTTTTTAGCGATAAAAGCGAGTTTTTGAGTTTTGATAATTATTAAAAAAATTTAGCTGATAATATCAGCTAATTGCTAATTCCACCAGTACCCTTTTCTTTGTAACATTGACTCCAGGCCCACATTTTTTTAGCGATAAAAGCGATAGTTTTGATAAATATCAAATTTATCAATTTTAGCTGATAATATCAGCTAATACCCATTTCCCTAGTGCCCTTTTCTTCGTAACATTGACTCCAGACCCCAAATTTTAAAAGCGATGGTTCTGATAATTATAATCACATAGGGTCCATAGAAAACATATTTTCCAGATTTAGACAAAATTATCAGAATTAGCGAAACTTTTATCAATTTTTGCTTAAAACTCCCATTGAAATAACATGGGAGCTGGAGAAATTAGCAAAACTATTTAATATGTAACATACGTTTTTCATCATGATTAAAATGGCTTTAACCATTTTGACTTATACTAGTTATAGACCAACGATAGTACGCGCTAATAATCGAACTTGCATTTCATCGTATGCACCTTAAACAATGTATTGTAACATTTTAATCATCGTATACATGATTAACTATTGAAATCTTAATGAGTTCAAATAATTCCAGATGCGAAGTAAGCTTCAATCCACGTTATTCCAAGTGGCGGTCGTGCTACCTCTGCTACATATGAGTCTGGGCTGTGCAAAAAAGGCAAACTACTGTAGTGAGTCTGACATAGAGATCCTAAAATCTGAAATTCTGCACCAATGCAATAGTAGTTGTGCAAGCCAAAAGGTAAGATGAACTTAACAAAAGCTTTCAAAAATACCCCACCGATTTGCATTTTATCTTTTGGTTTTTGAATAAAAATGATAGCAATTGAATCAACTTGTTACTTAGTACTGTACATATCAAATTTGGCTATACAGGGTGGGCCAATAAAAACTGGAACATTTTTCTATTTATTCTATTCTCTTTATTTTTGCAGTTCAATCCACAAAAATTCAGATACTGGTAAAATGATTATTTGTGAAAATGTTAAAGATTAAAGTATGTATGTATGATTAATTTTGGCTTGTCATGGTCATGAACTGTATACTGCGTGCATCATGAAAAATTTCTAAATTTTCTCTGCTTGAGATATCACTGCTGAAAATACAGTATCTTTTATACCATACAATATGTACCCTTCAAATGGTCTTAACACAATCTATCAATTAAAACTATATGTAGTTATCTTTAGGAGAAGCAAGACATGTCTACCTTGAATAATATAGCTTAACTGACCTCAACTTTTTTTCAAAACTGGCACAATAAGTGACACTATGTCTCAAAACCTGTCATTTAAGCCATGAATGACTGTCAAATACACCTAAGACTGATTGTTCAGGTAGGTGACAGACAAGTTCAGGAAACCCTTGTGTTGAGTCAAAAAATTTGAACATTTTTCCATCGATTGTAACTTTTTTGTTAGTCTTGTATTATCTTCAAGACTTTAGATAATTGAAAAACAATTCATTGCCATTCTGTAAATATGAATATACAAGCTCAACATTTAATAACTGAACACGTCCTCCACCCACCTGAACAATCAGTCTGGGCTGTATTTGACAGTCATGCTTGGCTTTAATGACAGGTTTTGAGACATATTGTGCCAGTTTTGAAAAAAGCTGAAGTCAGTTAGGTAATATTATCCGAGGGAGACATGTCTAGCTTCTCTTAGAGATAACTACATATGTTTTAATTGATGGAAATTGTGTTGAGACCATTTGAAGGGCATATATTGTATGGTATGAGATACTGTGGTTTCAGCAATGATGTCTCAAGCAGAGAAAATTTGGAAATTTTTCATGACGCACACAATATATAGATCATGACCATGACAAGCAAAAATTAATCATACATACATATTTTTATCTTTAACATTTTCACAAATAATCATTTTACCAGTATCTGAATTTTTGTGGATTGAACTGCAAAAATAAAGAGAATAGAATTAATAGAAAAATGTTCCAGTTTTTATTGGCCCACCCTGTATGGTCATATCCAATGGAACACACCTTTAAATATCAGGAGACATTTGTTTTAGAACTTGCATTTAGTTTCGTTATAGATAAGCCAATGATCCAGATACAGTGTGTCCTCATCGAACCTGCCCAGGGTATTATGTAAAGGACATTGCAAAAAGGAAAAATTGATTGAAGGTGTAACTGTTGTTGCATTGTTAATATGATGAATTTAGTAATTCGATCATATTTTAGGGACCAAGAGGCCCAATGGGATACAGAGGAAGTCCGGGACCAGTGGGGAAAACAGGTCCTGTTGGACCAATAGGACCAACGGGGAGGCCCGGTCCTCCTGGACCTCCTGGAAACATAGAAGGGGGGACAGGGCTCATTGGGGCAACAGGACCTTTTGGAGCCACAGGAAGTACAGGGCCAGTTGGACCCACGGGGCGTACAGGACCCGTTGGACCCACTGGAAGAACAGGACCTATTGGACCTACGGGACCCACTGGACCTGCAGGGCCCGTTGGACAAACAGCGACCTGCACGTCGCAGTGTCCCAAAGGCTTTGTCCAGAACCAGGACTCCTGCTATTTGTTCCAATATAAACTTGGTGGAGCAGCCAATTGGTTTGAAGCCAGTGCATTTTGTGCCACCCACAAAGCACATCTTGTTACAATCGAAACAGCTGCTGAACAAACCTACATTGAAGGACAAATTCGTGCTGATGATAAAAGCAGTTTGACATTTTGGACAGGTAATGCCTCACCTTAGATATTTTGGTAGTTGTTCATCAAAGAGGAAGTTCCCTATCATAGTAGTCCTCTACAGAATACATCTATGTTAATTGTTCAACCATATACCACAGTATAGAGAATGTTCCACTTTTTGACAACCGTGTAATTTGCTTTCTGCATCTTTCTTATTGAAGGTGGTAATGATATGACATCGACTGAGGGATGGCAATGGGCCGGAGGACCATGCTTCGATACAAAACCAATGAATTATTCTCACTGGGAGTCGGGACAACCAGATAATGGCAGAGGCACGGACGATTGTTTACATTTGGATCCTGAATCTTCTCTTCGATGGAATGCCGACCAGTGTAACAATAAATATCAGCCGATTTGTGAGATAAATCTCTAATTTTAAAGTACTTCTATAAGATCCAATTCCAAGTGCTTAAAATTACGCATAGTAGCTTACATTTATCGCACACTGAAACAATAAAATGTTATTTTACGGATTGAAAGACTTTCAATATACATGGACATACAAAACTTATTGCAGAAAGCTATATATATATATATCTAAAACATATAATGACATATTGCTAGTACCGAATGAAAAAATGTAAAATATGTCCCTCTTACATGGAAGTCAGAGGATTTGAAGATGATTTTATATAAGTTTATTGCACCAATATTAACATACCATCTATATAATCATAATACAATTACTCAGATGTGAGTAGGTAGTTACCAGTTACGCCACCAGGTGGCTGATTCGGGGGAATTAACATGGCAGTTAAATTTGAATATGCATCAGTTTTAGTGGTTCACTTTTCATATTACCTTTTTGTATCTGATAGTATACAAATTAAAATATGTCCAGTAAAAGAAAATATTATCTGTCCAACACAAGAAAAGATATTTCACTTTTTGTGGTTTTACAACATGGGGTCTATGGGGAATCTCCCCGACCTAGAAGTCATATTTTCAAAGAAAATTAAATTTTCAAAGTTGATAAACCCTTTTCAAAACCACATTTCTAAATGTTATTTTACATGTAGATTCCAAATATGACATCAGTTTGACTGAATTGTGAATTTTTAATGACGTAAATCAAGATTTTTTCTACTCGCATCTGGGATATTAGCTAGTTTCAATCTCGTGGTTATCCGAGTCAACATACAAGTTTAAAGGTCCCATATACAGTTTATACCTCTTTGACTTTCGTATTGTCTTGCCTATTGGTATGGAAAACTTTCAGTTTAATTTCAAAAAGTTCTTTTGTTCGAGGAGTAGTGAATTTATTTAAAATGAAACTTTTAAAGTCAGTTGTCACGTACATAAAACAACATACACCCCAACTCATTTTGTGTAGAAGTAATTCAGAAAATGGAAAATTGAAAAATACTTATAAGCGCAGAAACGTGGTTCAGAGAAGAATTTTAAAATTTTAGTTCTCATGGAATACAATAGTACATACACTCCCCTCCATAAGTTTGGCAACCTTTTTCCCTCATTGAACTACGTGTTAAATCCTCTTTACCTTTGAATTTTTATTTACTTAAAATGCGATGAAAATACTTATACTATTGATGGAAACGTAATTTGACTTTAATTCCAATACCTCCAAATTTTCTCAATTTTTTCCTCAGTTACAATAGGTCGAAAATTGATGATAAATTTGATGAATTTTTGAAAATCGACATTCCCATGTTAACCAATGGGAAATGGTAGGTTTGCCGCAAGTCATATGACTGAATATCCATCCATCCGAGTCCTTGCAAAAAATACGAGTTAGGCAGGCAATTGAATTTGCTAACTTTATTTAACAAAAAATTGATGTTTCTTCAGGTTCAACAAAGTTATAGGGCTTTAAAGTCAAAATTGTTTTTCAAAAAACCTCTCCCATTGAAATAACACAGGAGGCGAAAAATTATTTTCAAAAATGACTTTGAAGCGCTGTAACTTTAATATGCATCAAATAAACTAAACACTTAGTGTTCAAAAAAGTTAGACAATTCAATTTTCTATATAAAAATATTTTTTGCTGAATCTTTTACTGAAAAGATATCCTGATTTCTGATTTGCCCCGAACCCTCAATTTCCCATTGGATTACATGGGAATGACGATTTTCAAAAATTCATCAAATTTATCATCAATTTTCGACCTATTGTAATTGAGAAAAAAAATGAGAAAATTTTGAGGTATTGGAAATAAAGTCAATATTATAAGTTATTTCATCGTCGGTTAAGTAAATAAAAATTCAAACGTAAAGAGGCTTTAACACGTAGTTCAATGGGGAAAAAAAGGTTGCCAAACTTATGGAGGGGAGTGTAAATAATTGAAACATGACAAAAACTTATTTTCAACATAAGCTTAGCATTTAGAAAATATTTCTGAAAGAAAAATCGACAAAATATTTTGCCACCTGAGTGACATCACAGCGTATCGTAGTGACATCACCGATATTAAAAATGCTTTAAGTATGTTTAACTATGCTTACAAATATAATAGATTGTTTGGTTGAAATAATGTAACTTTTACCTTATGTGTAGAGAAAAAATATTGTGCTTTTCAAAGTTAAGTGTTGTATCTACATTCCACAAATCCAAACTATTGTTTCTAAAATGGCGCAAAATTCAAATGTTCAAAAACTAAGCTGAATAACTTTTTTCAAAATATGTCTTAAATAGTTTTCAAGTCATGAAAATTAATATTTGAATGATTAGACTATATTTTCAAACTTTGCATGGGGCCTTTAAATTGTTTTTATATTATATAGAAGCTTGACAAATTGCTTACATTCATTCTAGAATATATTCATCGAAGTTCTTATTCAAAGGAGCACGTTAACTATGCAGGTGTACCTCAAGGATCAGTCCTCGGGCCCCTCCTATTTCTTATTTACATTAATGACTTACCAGATGATCTCCTATCCAAAACATTTATTTTTGCTGATGATACATCTATTTATAGTGCACATGACAGTTTTGATAAGATTTTAAACATTCACCAACCACTTCAAAGAGATCTTGACATTTTGGCAAATTGGGCCATGACTTCAATCATTTTTTCAAGACCCCCAGCGAACTTCCGCCCAGAGTGCAATTTTACACTAAACGAATGTTGATCCCCGGGGATATTTCATACATCTCTTACATTAAAATTAATTTATAATATAAATATACATTAATGTGTAATATTCTGAAATATAATACAAAACATGGATGTTGGGCTTAAAATGAGCGGATTTATTTTTAATTAATAAATCTTATTACAAAACACATCTTACAAAACATATCATATTGATTCATATTGCCAATGCAAGTTGTTTACAATGCAAGGCAATATATAAAAACCGCCCAAACACCGCCCAACATCCGATAATCTATCTTGCTTCTATAAATTGTCAAGGAGACGATTTGATAAATTACATAGTACCTTTTTGGGTGTACGTATATATTCTTGATAACAGTTGCTGGCCCAACGGCCCATGATTTTTACTTCCCAGTCTTTTAAACCTGCAATACCAGCCTGTGTGGCTCCTCCTATTCGAAATGAATGACCACTGAATTTATTGGGATCATAACTCAAAATTGACATGTACAACTTTAGATGAGATATGAATGTACCTCTATTCAATTGCAGACCATTGCTATGCAAAAATAAACATTGACTGGATTGTGAACCTCTATTTTCGAGATAAAATTCTGTAAGACAAACTGCACACAGAGGCTTATTAGTGCAACCAATGGTGACATCAGAGCCTTTACCAATAGGATCTGTTTTTGATATGTTCAATCTGAGAACCATGTGTTTTAAATGTTCACCATCAGGTTGCTCTATGTGGACATCTGTGATATTCAAATTCAGTAACTCTGAACATCTTAAAAGACCAAAAAAGGCCACAGTCATTGCTGTTATATACATAAGTTCATTTCTATCATTTACATTATGCATCTCTAATAGTTTATACATAATATCTGCTGTAATTGCAGATTTTTTATTAGTGTTATCTTGTTCCATTAATACTGCTCTCAAAGCTCTTTTTATTTTGAAAGAACTTTCGATTGGATCTATGAATCCATGTTCCAAATGAAGTGATCTGAATCTGAGGATGACTTTTAAGGCACAAAAAAGTGCTGACTTAACCTTTGTATCAGGAAATAGAAGACTATTACAAGAGCCAGTCCCTTTAAAACTAGGAGGAGATGTGATTCCTAGTTGCACCAAACACAAACACCTGGGCTTAGTACTTGATCAAAATCTAAACTTTAATTCACATGTTGACCAACTCATAGAGAGAGTAATCTCTCTCATGAGACCATTGAAAAAGTTAACTAAAATGCTAAACAGTAAATACCTAGAGAATATATATAATTCATTTATACTACCACATTTCGACTACTGTGATACAATATATGATAAGGCATCAACTTCAAAACTATTAACATTGGATAGACTTCATTATCAAGCAGCCTGCCATGTGTCAGGAGCAATACACGGTTCAAACACATCGAAGGTTTTATCATTACTCAACCGGAAAACGTTAGCTTCCAGGAGAGAAGAACATCTTAAAATTTTTGCTTTCAAGGCTAGATACCATTGTTTCCCTCCTTTCATTTGTGATTTAGTTAGTTCATACGAGAATATTCCAAATCGGCCCCTAAGACAACCAAGGCATTATAGAATACCCTTTCCAATCAGTAATTCGTTCAAAAAGTCAACCATTATCAGGGCTATGACCCTGTGGGATGACATACCATATGAGGACAGGAAAGGCCAACCAATATCTAGATTTAAAAGGTTAGTAAGAGGAAATATGAGCCCTGACTCCAGAGTATCCACTACCAAAATGAATATGACAATGCCAAGGAAATATGAAATTCTGTTCAATAGATTTAGAGCTGGACTGATTCTAAAAGCACATTTATATTCCCATAACTTTGTGACAGTAAATGACCCTTTCTGCGTATGTGGTGACATACAACAAACAACGCATCACTTTTTATTAAACTGCCCTCTGCTGCAACAAGAAAGATGCACTCTCCTAGCAGGACTAAAAACCTTAGGATTTTTCAATCGTTTCCAAAATTTAAACTCTCATGAAAAAATTCAATTTTTATTATTTGGAGACAGAAATCTCACTGTAACTGATAATGAACAAATTATTCATATAGTTAGCCATTACATCTGCCAGGCTCTTGATATTTTAGATTAACCCCCCCCCTGAAAGCCTCTAACATTCCCTGCCATTAATATTATGTACCTTATCTATTGTATTTTCATTGTTTCCATTTTTATATGTTTTGTATATTGCCGACAATGTTGAAAAACGTAGGCAATAATATTGTAATGTATTTTATGTTATATTTGGAATAAATGAGAAATGAAAAAAAAAAAGGAGCACGTACTGTAGATATAATTATTTTATATTCTCACTTTTTAACATGCTAATTTGAGGAGTCTTAAAACATGCATTCTGATCATCATAGCATCTTTCTGTTTCACCTGAAACATCTCAGGACTGAGAGGAAATGAGATACCATTGTTTATCATGATGTAAAACACGAGTTGTAATAAATTTAAATGTGTTTCTCAATGAATTTCCAAAAAGTGAAGTTGATACATAAAACAACAAATACCAATATTGTAGATAATAGTACCTCTTTAAAACATACAGTTAGAGTACTAGTTCATATACAACATATCAATGAGAATGCATGTATATTTATACTTTCTATTTCATTATATTGGTGTATATTGCTTACTATACATACTACTAGTATTAGAAAAGTCCTCCAGTCCTCAAGGCAGGTCTGGTTAAAAAAGATTTTATGATAAAATTTTACTACATAGGATGGTGCAGAGATAAACCTCCAATTGGATTATTAATGTCCCTCAATTATTCACATTTTGGTGCGAAATTTTTTACTTTGCTTTGATAGATTCCTTGAATAGGCTTAAGAAAGTGGTCAGAAGGGCGAGGGGAAGGTCCGCATATCCAAACTTCCGGAGGAGACTGTATCTCGTTACTCCTATTTGAAATTGGTTTTCTAGAAAGCCGATGTATTTATTCAAGAGAAAAACTTTGAAACATCCTTCTTCAAAGGACTTCATTTATGCTTAAATTAAATGGAAAGAAGTGAAATACCCTTGGGCCAAGGATGCTTTGGAATTCCGAAACTTCCTTTAACTCATCTTTACCGAGCAATATAAAGTAAAATACATTGGGCGAAATTATCAAAAAAGATGACAGTGCAGTCAGACTTTTCTCTTCGTCTTCTCCTTTATATACGAGTTATTATACCAGGCCCGTAAGACACTTTTCTCCGAGGGGGTGCGGTTTTTAATGAAAATAAAATAAAATTGTCATTTTTTTCGCATAAATCAAATCGCGTAAGTCAGAGGGGGGTCAGTTATTCTCTATATATAGGCCACTCAGCCTATTTTGTAGTATTTTATTGTTTTAGACTAAATATTGTATGAGCAATTTGGAGAAACATTGGAATAGGGGGATGGTGTGCTAGAAGGCAATAGAATGAATTTAAATAAATTCTGTTTTTTTAATCATTTTCTTCTTAGAGGAGCGAGTGGGCAGCACGGGAAAATTTTACTAATTCAAGATGATGTCTGGTTAAGTCTGAGCACTTTTGATGTGTTTGAGTAAATGAATGCTTTAGTTTTTGGGATGCGGTGTCAGAATTATTTAGGATTTCATTATGTCACTTGGTGATTTCTGGGCACTTTTAAAGTGTTTAAAATTAACAAATGCAACTTCCAAACATTCCCAATTGCTTTGTAGGGGGGGGGGGGGGGGGGGGGTGAGGAGTATTTGGTGCTTTCTGGGCACTTTCAAAGTGTATGAGTCAATAAAAAATGTGTTTTTTTAGGGGGGGGGGTAAAAGAGCATAAAAGGGTGAGGTGGGGTGGGGATGCCAGAGGGGGAGCAAGGGGGTTTCCCTCAGAAACATTGACCATTTCAAGGTGCTATTTGATGATGTCTGGGCACTTTAAAAGTGTCTGAGATAATACATGAAATTCATATTTTTTCAATTGTTTTGTGGGGAATGTGATGGGTGACCAACTCTCCTTGAAAATTTTACAATTTTAAGATGATATTTGGGACTTTCTGGGCATTTTTAAAGTGTACGAGTCAGTAAAAAAATGAACAACAATCACAATTTTGGGGGTGCCGAAGGGGGGGGGGTGCCAAAGGGGGAGGTAGAGTTAGGTGCCAGAAGGGGGAGCAAGTGTTTGTCCCCCATATCTGTCCCCCAGAAACATTGACCATGTAAAGGTGTTATTTGATGAAGTCTGGGCACCTAAGATGTGTCTGAGACAATACATGAAATAAATTCAGAATTTTTGTCAATTGTTTTGTGGGGGATGTGAGGGGTGGCGTACTTCCTTAGAAATTTTTTTAAGATGCTATTTGGTGCTTTCTGGTCACTTTTAAAGTGTATGAGTCAATAAAAAAGATTGAATCATCTTTTTTCTATTTTTTTGGGGGGGGGGGGGGGCTCAAGGTGAGGTGGGGTGAGGATGCCAGAGGGAGAGCAAGTGTTAGTCCACCCTCCCATCTGACGGCCATGTAAACGACAAAAGTCTGCTAAAATAAGTGTAAGTACACGATCGATTCTTTACAACTACATGTACCGTTTGCAAAAGACGTGATTGCATTTGAATTTGAATAGTATTTACATTTAATTAGTGCAATTTTTTGGCACATTAGAACAGGATGGAAAATAATTCATAATTTGATTATAAATATATGAAATACAATTGGACATCCCCAAATACCCAACAAAGTTGAAATACCCATTGTATTATTAGGCCTATATACGAGTACTTTAAAAATGTAAGAAATATCGAATATTGATAAACGATAATTTGTCTCTTACACCACACGCAGACACGGTGTCTTACATATACAGCCTCCAATATCATATATTGCTCACCAATTTGATTTTCAATTTACCAATACCACTGTGAATACTAATATAACCCGAATTATGCATCAAAGAGAATCATAATCCTTTGTTTCCAACAACTCGCTATACTTAGTAACGGGACCCACCGCCCCATGGACAGATACTGTATGTCATACGAGACTAATTGAATAATTCCAATATCCCGAACCTTGTATAGGATAAACTATATGTATGCACAAGTGCAAAGGGAATAGGACCCCAAATTGTAACGGGAAGAAAACAAACCAAAACTATCCCAAACCATGATCTTACGTGAAAATAAACAATGTATTCTTATCCCATTAACATTATCACAATCTGGGACCGCAAGAAACAAAAAATACAAAAAAAAACAGAATATGCAACATACAAAAGGTGTATTTTTGAAGAGCAATGATAAAAGAACGAAGTCGGCCATCATCATGATCTTTCAAAATGAATATAAAATAGAAAAACAGCCTTTTTTGTGTAACTGTAAAATAGGTTGACTAAGAAGTATTCAGTTAAGGTACATTTTTATGAAAAACGACCATTTCGATTCGATTACATATAATGTCCACAGACCATCATCCAATGCAAAGACCCAGGTTATGGGTGTGGTGAAAAAGTTTGGATGCTATTTTTTTAGACTACCATACCGATCCAAAATCCTAACCTCCAATATGATGTATGACGGGAAAGCATTCTCTGGTTTCTTCATCCCAAGGTACATGTTCAGTGGTAATAGAAACGAATTAATAGATCAATGTAATTAAAAGTATATAAATGAATGCTGTTTCGTAATCATATTAACAACATTAATTCTATATTGAATGCTAACACACACGGCAATTTATCAATTATCAGTTCAATTATACAATATTTCATTTATACAAGAGAAATAATCTTTAATTAGAAAGTATAGAAAAATTATATGTAACATAACAGCAAGAGGCACGACACACTTTGTGATTTTGGTTCATATTCAGGCTGTTACTTACATTAACAAATACATAGACAGAAGGATAGAAGGAAGATAGAAGGGTAGAAGGACTTTGGGATGAGTTTTTTTAATGAAGCACAATGTCAGTATCTGTGAAAGTTATGACCATTATACTAACACTGTTCATTTTTTACATTACCTTTGATCTTGTACAGTCCCAAACAACATGTATTGGAATATCGCTTTCTAAATATCAATGGGAAGATGAGATATACATTAAATTCCCTAATGCTGAGGCACTAGAAAATCCTCTGAAGTCATTTAAAGTTTTGACAAGGACCAGATGCGAGTCTAGCTGCTCTGTTGTACCAGAAACATGCAAATCGTATAACCTACGATACATTGAAGGAGAGAAACACATGAAAATGTGTGAATTATTTGGGCCATATTTGACGAGCGAATCGCCTACTAACACAACAAAAGATGTTGACCACTACATGAGAAAAGGTAACTTTTAAACAATTTCGGCACGCAAGATTGCAAATAGGTTTATAAACGACTAAATGTGTCCACTGTGACAATGTTTACCATGACCATGCAATATATATTGAAAATATTGCTTATTATTTCTTAAAAACAGATTTTTGTCAATGGTGATTTTTTAACAAAAATCAAATTTTGCTATGGAAACTCGGACAACATAACATATTATGCATCAAGTCCGTCGATGATTTCTAACTGGTTAATGAAATATGTTTCCCACCATCTCGAGGGGTTGTTTAATTTGTCGTACTCATAAGAAATAATACGTTTTATAATGTCCATATATTTTGTATCCTCCAACACATACTCAACAAATTCAATTTACTAAAAATTCGAATTAATTGAGCATTTATATAACAATTATTCAAATACTACATTGCTTTAGTATAATTTCTGAAAATAATTGTTTGAAATAATTTATGTGCATTCATTAAATCTTAATGTTTGGAGGATACAAAATATTGGACAGCAGAACCTAAATCCACCACAAAATAACAATATTTTGTCTAATGTTTTCATTGTCTGTCATTTAAGAGGTAACCCTGGAGGGCACTTTCTGGCGAAATCTCAAACAAATGATGCATCAGCAATGTTAATTTAAACAGGGTGTTGGAGGATACAAAATATTAGACAAATGGTATCTGCATAGAAAAAGCATTTCATTGCAAGGGTAATACACATTTAACATCGCCCTTTTAAGACTTGATGACAAACATATTTTTTATGTAGTATGAAAAAATATCAACGCAATCGATGCCCTGTATGTACTGTAATCCGGTTTTGTATCACCACAGTGACAAAAAATCATCATTTAAGTTGTTTTTGAGAAATAATAACCAATATTTTCAGTATACTGTACATCGCATGATTATAATAACTAGTTGTGATGACTTTACATCAAATGTACCTGGTATCAACGCACACAGCACAGGCTTCAGTAAAACAACTGATATAACGGGAAATACGTCTTTTATAATCAAAAATTGAGGGAGCTGTGAAATACGCTATGGTATTTTTTATCACAGGGTACTGAATCAGTCAGTTGCTGTGGCAATTTCTTTGATTAAACGTAATATATGGAGCTAAAAATAACTTAGTGTTTTCATGAAAAATAGCATGCTGCCCTACGCCGGACAAATCTTTCGATGACAATCCGGAAATATGGATCTTATTCAGGCAATATATCTTTTTTCAGAATTCAGATTGTCGCTTTTGTGTATGCTTAAATGCCTTTAATTTCATATTGTATGCTTTAATGCCTTTAATTTCATATTGTTTAAACTCCAGCTTCCTGTAGAGAAAACGGCGAACAGCTGATATCTGGAGATACTTACTATGTTAATGATGCAGGGATAACCGCATCGTCAACTCATAGCCCTGGTCTCTCTACATTACAATCTAGATTGGACACACAGGGGTATGCATGTTAGCTTATCTATTTCTTATCTATACCTACTGAGGTTCTAGGTACATAACGAGCAGGAATATATACTGTATCTAGCCAAGGTCCGGGGCGGGATGGATACACGCTGTATCCATCCCGGTCCCGCTCCTGAATTTTTTTTCACAATTTTTTCAAAATTTTTTTTTGAATTTTTTTTGAATTTTTTTTCCCAAAATGTTTTTCCCATTTTTTCCAAATTTTTTTCACATTCTTTTTTTTAAGAAAATGTTCACATTTTTTTCAAATTTTTCAAAATATGAGTTATATGAGTTTGAAAATCTCAGAAACTTAAAAAACACTTTATAACACCAAGAAAATGTGTATCTTAAATATATTTTTGATTTTTGGAACTTTATAAGTAGGTAGCGATCTGAGGCACTTCGATCAGGGTGTTGTCGGGACAATTTCTCTTGTGACTTAGGTTATGTATTTAGGTCTATCTCAACAGATTTTACTGGTCTTATACGCCGCAAATGGTGCGAAAGATGGTAAAATTGCATTTTCGACCCTAAAATTCAGATTTCTTGGGGGTACATTATTCTTTAGCTATAAAACAAAAACTAACCAACCAATGCTTCTTTCTTTTAGTGTTTCTGTTATGAGTAATTATATTCAAAATGCATATGTAAAAAAATTGAAGAATTTTAACTTAATTTTAAAACAACAACATTTTTTCACCCTAAAATCATAGAATTTAGGGGGGTCGAGAGACACTGATCGGAATTGATATTTTAATTTCTCAATCAATCTGTGTTTAATATTAATGAAACTTTCCTAAAAATAGCACCAACATGTCCCCAGCATATTACCCATAAAGAAAAAACTCAAACTCTGATGTTTTTATCTATTGGGGTCAATTTACCTCTCCCCTCTATCCCTTATAAAAGGGGTGTGGCCATTAATACATGTAGATTTAAACAGTAGAGTAGCATGATGTCATATTAAATGAATACATGTACATATCATGTATTTTATCAGATATATTACCATCAAATATTTTCACTTAGGTGTATACACATAGTACATACCTTTGAATTATTTATAATACAATATTTATTCTGTGTAGGCTAGAGATATAAGAATGTTAAAAATCGGAAGTTGAATAGTATCTAATACACAGTTCAAGACTCAGTCATAATATTCATTTTATGAATTTCTGTCATCACAAATGTTGTGTTTATTCACCAGAATATATTTCATCCACAAAGCTTTGTATTTCATAACCTTCCTCTTCATTTTGATCTTCTAAAGTATCAACTAATACGATAACATCAACCAGGTCCTGGGGTAGAATTTTATCTGGATTTGACGCTCATTGAAATCCAAATGGCCATCTTTCATCCGCCATCCATGTGACACAGGGGAGGGAATTGATGGGGAGGGGATGTGGGCCAGTTTCCATATGTGTGCTTGATAACTGGCCCTTGCTAGATGCAGCTGTAATGAATCTTTACATGGGGGTAGGAGGCTTATGTCAGTGCCTTCATAGCTTGTTATCACACTTGGAGCAGATTTTGGTTGGAATTTGTTCTTGAATAAGGTATATCTCAGCTCATTTATATTTGAACACTTTTTGTTTCCATACATCTGGCAAGAAAACTTCTCAGCACATTTAGCAGTTTGATCACTAATGACCTCTCCAATGGTGCCGAAACCTTTTTGAAATTCTACAGATCTCATAAGTAATTTTAGGTGGGGGCGACAATTTCCGCCTTCTCACAAAGGCACTGAAGGAATCACATCGAGTGAATGAATGGAAGGCTGGCAAAGCATTACAAATTTATAAATGTCTGAACTGAGCGCATTTCCTACTTCCTTTACATTAAAGGGGCAACAAGGACTGTAGAGAGAAAATTCACATTTTTCTCTTTTTTTCTGAGCTATCAGGTCAATATTTGGCTTAAAATCTTCGTTGACATACCTATTTTCTTAAAATGTATGAATAAACTCTCAATTTCAGCATTTAGAAGTGTAAATTCAGTTCAAAGCTTCTATAAAGGGAGTCCCACTTATAGATTTTTAAGATTCACCACGTTTCAAGAGGAATATCAGCTGAAACAATGTTCATCCAGGGGGTTTCTTTGTACATAATAATAAAAATATATGTTAGTCTTGATGAAATATCCAAACTTAAATATATTTTGACACTGGTCGATGATCGTTAAATGGCCCCCCTGCACTAATTGTTGCACTTTAAATGAGTCATCTGTGGTCTGCACTACCAGTGTCGAAAATTAATGGAGTTTGAATAAGATTGGAAAGTACACAAGAAGTACAAAAACATCGCTATTTGGGGATCTCACAACTATAGTTTTTTCTGTATTTTCAGGTTCATTTGCCATGTTAATTGCACGGAGTATAATTTTTGTATCTGCTTCTTTGTGGGAAGATTTCTGGCTAGGTTCAACTCTATGTGTAACAGTAGTTCCATCACTGGTTACCACTGTACAGATCTCACCACATGTAAAACAAATCTGTCTTTCTTTGAGTTTAGGAGCATTTTCATCTTTTTGCATTCTTCAAGGATCAACTGGCTCAGCTGCATTTCATTCTCATCATTTAAAAGGAATTCCTTCCAATTGTTAGAAATCCTGGTATTAGGTCCACAATTGTTTTTTCTGGTGTGGGTCCATGTAATATTTTATGTTTTTTCCAGCTCATTTTATAATTTTGACTTTTCTGTTTTAACCAAGAGCCCATCAGGTGTTCCAAGAGCCCAGGGTATTGGACTCAGGGAATATTCCAATATTTGCTTTAGACTGATACTATGCTACTCTGATAACATTGACTAACTGGCCAAATATATTGCGCTCAGCTCTAATCTCAATCAGTTTGTTTCCAGAGCTTTTCACCTTTTTGACTTCAGCATTGAATTCAGATGTTTTCAGTTTTATTTTATGGGGTCATGAAAACTTTTGTCCTTCTGCTCAAATCGGTCTTGAATAAATTGCTTAAAGACTTGTATGCCCTTGGATGCTGCATTTAAGAGATCAAATCCTAAATTAGAGGTTGTTGGCATTCCAGATGATATGCAGTATAAATTATCATTGTCCTGAATTTGGAATGGATTGAGAAAGCCATCAATTGAATCAATCAAATTAATTAATAATAGAACATCAGACTGTAATAAGCCTTGAATAGCTTACTATTCTCCATTATTGTTTTGCTGTGTTCCCTGCAAATAATAGATAGCAATTTATAATTGCAATTAGATAATCAGTTTTCTAATCAAAGTTAAATATAAAGGTGTTTTATATAAAGTAAAACCTATGTACAGTGAACATCTATAGAGCCACAAAAAATATGTTCACTATTGGTAGATTTCAATACAGAGAGACAATTTGTATTGGAATCAAGGTATGTGCTGAAAATAGGGTGTTCATTTTACATAGGTGTTCACTAGAGAAAGGTGTTCACTACCACAGGTCCCATTGTATTAGGCTTATGTCATTTCAAAGACATTCACTAGCTACAAGTAAAATAAGGCATTAACATGACAAAATGTCACCACCTAGTTGAAACAAGATAAAAAATACCTTTTTGACCTTGAGGAGGTCATGAAAGGTCAAATCTATTTTGACCTTGAGAATGTCATTTAATGATCAAATCTATATTCTTAAATCTTAAGAAGGTCATTGAAAGTCAAATCTCAAATCTTAAGTCAGATTTGAGCTTCCGATAACTTATAGATGATTTTGAAAAAATGGTTTATTTGAAGCATGTTGAAAAAAGACCTTTTTGACCTTTTCTGACCTTTAAAAGGTCATTGAAGGTCAAATCTTAAATATAAAGTCAGATTTGAACTTCTGAAAACACGTAGATGATTTTGAAAACAATTGAAGTCAGTCTATACGGTATTTGTTAATTATTGGAAATTGTAAGAATTTGTTACAGACCCCAATTGCCAACCACCAACCACAAACAGCCGACCACTGACCACCATCAAAAAAGAACAGACACCATAAAAATATATCACCACTTTTTGGTAGTGACATAAAAATGATAACCTGATATGAACCATCCTCCTAAGCAGGTGTCCAGAATCCGTACCTCCTTCCCCCTGCTATAACCAAATTTGGACACGCCGACACGCAGTGTTGTGACAGCCAATCAGATTGCAAGTTCTTAATCAGGGAAATGGTAACTGCTTATCGCAGGGGGAAAAAGAAAGAATATGTTCTGGATTTTGAAGCCCTGTGATCAGAGGATGGATAAGAACGTGAAGTATTTATTTTTATATGAACATGCTAATATGGCCACGCCCTTTCTAAAAAGGGAAAGAGGGGAGAGGTAAATTGACCCCTATAGACAAAAAACATGTCAGAGTTTATGTTTTTTGTTCATGGTTATGTGTTGGGGACATGTTGGTGCTACTTTTAGGAAAGTTCCATTAATATTAAACTGAGATTGATTGAGGAATTAAAATATCAATTCCAATCAGTGTCTCTCAACCCCCCTAAATTCTATGATTTTAGGGTGAAAAAATGTTGTTGTTTTAAAATTAAGTTAAAATTCTTCATTTTTTTTACATATGCATTTTAAGTATGATTACTCTTAACAGAAACACCAAAAGAAACAAGCATTGGTTGTTTAGTTTTTGTTTTATAGCTAAATAATAATGTACCCCCTAGAAATCTGAATTTTAGGGTCGAAAATGCAATTTTGCCATCTTTCGCACCATTTGTGGCATGTAAGACCAGTAAATTCTGTTGAGATAGACCTAAATACATAACCTAAGTCACAAGAGAAATTGTCCCAACAACACCCTGATCGAAGTGCCTCAGATCGCTACCTAAAGGTATATGACGTACCTAGAACATCAGTAGGTATGAAATACATCTGTTATGTACGGTCGGTTTTGGATACAGGGTTTATCCCTCGGGAAATATGTGTATATCCCTCGGTCCCTCGGGATATACACATATTTCCCTTGGGATAAAACCTGTATCCAAAACCTCCCAGTACATAACCCT